ATAAATAGCTTGTAGTTTGGTTTTCTAAATAGTTAAACCAAAGTTGTTGTTTTTCTTTAGGAATTTTGTTTATGCATATAGATATGTGTTTCCAATCTAAAAGGTATAAGTTGTCAAATATAGTTAGTTAATTAAGTAAAGAATGCAATGGTATCTAAGTTGTTTTTTGAAAGTTGAGTATTTTGGATGTAATAAGAGTAGTGATTTAAGTGAAGTAGATCTTTCTTAAACAGTATATAGGATATTGTATAATAAGTTAGATGCAAATGTAATACCAAAATGTTTAAAAAGTTGAATTATTTTAAAGTTGATAGTATGTTTGTTAAGCCTATCAATGATAAGATTATCATGTATCAGAATACTAGTAAATGGTCACAGGTTGTTCTAAAGTTGCTAGAGCCTAATGTAAATACTTATTCTTAATAGATCAAAAGAATTAAGTCTTTTGGTAAAGTTTGTAATGTGATGTTATAGTTGAATATCCTATATATTATGGATATTATATAGCTAGGAATGGAGTAATATGCTAATAAGAATTGTGCAACTAAGTTTGGCTTTGCTTTTAACAAGTCTCATATGACTTGTAAGGATTTTGTTATATGTATATTAATTAAAGACAATATTATGCAGATGGTATTCAATTGTGGAAATAATGACACTATTAATAATATAATATGCATGTATATTAGTAATTTGTTTGGTGCTAGCAATTTTAACAAGATGTGATGATTCTGCAATAATAAGTTTGGTTTGTTTAGCTTGTTTGTTATTAAGTGTAAACTAGCATTCAAGAAATTTAAATGGTTTATTTAATATATGAAGGTTAAGAAAATAGTTGTTGTATATAATAGGAATATAGTTGTTTGTTTGTTATTAGTTGTAAGTATAAATTTAGAAGTGTTAATTTGTAGATTAGCTATGATAATAATAATTTGGCTATGAAAAGAATTTGTGATAGTTCTTGTTGTGAGAATGCAATCCAAAGAGTGTCATCTATATAGGCAAGAACTGAGTAGTATGAGCTAAGCTTATTATATGTTTGATGTTTTAGTTAGTTAGCCAAGAGACTTGTGTAATATAACTTTTGAAGTTGTTATAAATATATAAAATGAGTAGGTTATAGTAGATTCTTCATAGAAGAAGAGTAATGATTTCATTCTGATCAATGCCATTGTATACAGGATATGATTAAGTAAGTCCAAGATTTGTAATAACTTGATTTTGTCAGTTATGAAGAATATTAGTAATAGTATTTATTATAGGATAAGGAAGAGCATAGTATTGTAAAGATATTTGAAAGAGAGAAAGATTAACTAAGTCATACACTTTACTCATATTTTGAGATAAAAGCCAAATTGTTTGTTGTTACATGATGCATCTTCAGTAAGAGTATTAAGTATGTGAATTGGTATAGATATGCTGTTGTTAGGTAAAGCATATAATTGTATGATGAAAGTATTGGATATTGAGAAATCACAGTACTGATTCTAGTAGTAATAATTTTTGTATAGACTTTTTAAATATGTTTGATAAGACCAATAGAGCAAGTGGAACTTAAGTTATCATTAAATGTATTACATTTTAGAATTGGATAAATTCTATTGTATTTCTATTGTTTAGAAATTTGGTTTGAGTTAAAGCAACAGTTAAGTAGAGCTGTAATAGCTTTAATACAGGTAGTGTCTGCATGTTTAAGCATTTCATAGCTGATGCCTGTATGTTCACAGGCTTTTCTATTAAGAAGTTTTGACAAGATTTGAAAAATATTTCTTCTGTAATAAGAGAATTAAAGGAGTTGTACTATTGGGTATTAATATGTGGTTGTGGTTGATAATTGTATGCCAGAAGCTGCTAAATAATTCTTGGTCAACTGGTTAATATGCAGTTAGTCATGAAAGTAAGATTGTATATACTGTTTTATGAGTTTGGAATCTGTAATGAGTTGATTAGAGAGTTTAATATTGGAAAAGTGAATGGGATCTTTGTATTGATTAAGGATGCTATTAATAGCTTGTTTAGAGTGTTTTATATATTTTTTTAGTTGCTTGTTAGATTTGTTGATAAAGTAATAGTATGTTTTCTGTATGATGAACATGATATAGTTCTTTTCAGATATCTTGTACTTGTGGAATTTATGTATAAATTTGAGAGTAGTTATCTGGATCAAGAATTTGAAGGTCATAGTAGGATCTATTGTTAATGGTCTTAATTCTAAAGTTTATCATATTGATGTTAAGGTTATTGTAGGTGTTTTTAACAATTTTAATTAAGTATCCAAGCTCTTTAAATAATGTATAAAGTAAGATAGAGAGAGAGAAATATTGATGGTTGTAGCTACATTTACAGATTTTTTTGTTAGAGATAGAATGTATTGCAATATTAATTATTGAATATTTAATTTTATTCCAGATGGTTTCAATGCTTTCATTAGTGTTGCAATTGAGTGGTGTATTGTGAAGACTAAGATTGTAAGATAGAAGATTCAAGAATTCTGTTCATTTATCAGTTAACATAGCTTTATAGTTAAAGATTCTGTGACTGATGCCAGTATAATGATATGAAAGTTTGCTATATACATTAGTAAAAGTTCAGATAAATATAAGAATAGAGTAGTTACTAATTATTGAGGTATTACTGTTATTGAGTTTGTATAAAAGAAAGAATTAAATATTGAATGAATCAGTTCAAATATAGTTAATATGACTGTGACTAGTATTGTTTGACTATGTAAAGTGCTTATTGTCAATGTATGCACCAAGATCAAACATATTGGAATAATGTAAATAATTAATAAGCTTGAATTTAGATAATAAGCTACAAACATTATTATGTATATTAAAGTTTCCAAATATTATTGAATAAAGCTTGTGTTGTAAAGCTTGTTGGATCCATGCAATAATAGTATTTTGCATGTTGTTGCATTTTTGCATATCAGTAGAAAAGAGATAGATAGCTATAATTTAGTGTTTAATTTTACTTTAAAAAAAAATCTAGAGTAATAGCTCTATCAGAATGTGTTTGGCAATTGTATATGTGTAGTTGTAAGTGCTTTTGGATCATAATAGCAGCACCTTCTGCTAAGCTTTCTGAGTTGGCTCAGAAGTAAGTAAATAAGTTGTTATTGTAAAATTAGAAGTTAGTGTTATTAAAGATTTTGGTTTCAGTAATACAAAAAACATGAATATTATTGTGGAAACATAGTTTTGCCAAGCTTCTTTTTTAGTTACTGTGTTATAACCTCTAAGAATATATGTACAAATGTTTAAATGAAGGTTATATAAGGATTGTGTAGATGTAGATACTTGTGGTGCAGTATAACTGTTAAGAAATAAGTTAGATAGAATGAAAGTAGAATTGAAGAGATTTGATTTGAGAGAAAAATTGTAAAAAATAGGAAGAAGATAAGAATAAATAACAGTATAGTTGAATGAGAAAGTTATTTGAAAGATATATATGAGTTTTATGATAGGTATTGCTAACAAAAAAAGTAATGCTAGAGACAGGTTTTTGTGGTTATATTTGTCAATATGTTGTATGAGAAATTGAATAGTTTGGCTATAAGAAAGAAGTGATAAGTTGTAATAAAGCAGAAATTTGTTAAAACATATATGAAGATTATAGGAGTTTAAAAATAGTAAGAATGATCTTCTGAGGTTGTCTTCTACAAGGTCAATTGCTATATACTCAGCTCTCACAACTATGCAATGTACTATAGTCTGCCTTGTACATTGGGTCTGGCCATTGTAATCTTGGCCTTTCATGTAAATAGGCTTTACTGCCTGCCTACTTACTTTATTTTTCTTATTAACTACTATGGATGTATCATTTAATAGAATAGTGGCTACATCTATAGATTTTGTAAAAGACAAATTTATTGAAAAGGAGCCTGTTCTTCTTATTCTAAAAAGAGTAACTCTGCAATAGATGTGGGTATTTCAAATTTAATGTTAAATTTTTTATATAAGATATTTTCAGCTTTTGGTAATACTTTTTTTTTATAAAATTTAATTATTGCAAAAATAGTTAGAAGATTTATTATAAGTACAATCAAAGTATATAATAACATGTGCAAGAAAGTTAGTATTAATAAGTTTGGATGTAAGAAAGTTAATAACCTGTTGTTTGTCCATTTTGTCAATATTGTGATTTTTTGCAGCAGTATTTTGGTAAATAGTTAGGTATTAATAAAAATAGAAGGCTTATTATTTTGAATTAGTTCTGACAGAATTAGCAAAACAGATATACTCTTTAGTCTTTGCTGCCAGTTTATCTAAAACAGTAATAAGAATTTGTTTAGTAAATGTAACTTTATGTTTTTCTTTAACATTCAATATTGAAGCATCAAGAAAAAGTTCATTCTAGGCTTCAATTTCTTTTGGGTAGATGTTGTATAATGTGTCAAATATATTTCTAATAAGTTTGGTTAAGTTATGTATAAGTTGTGGCATAAGATTTGTTTTTTAAATATTATTGGGTTTTTTTTCAGTTTCAGGTTCTTTTTCTTTATCAGATTTCTTTTCTTTTTTTTATCTTTAGTCATAACTGGCTCAAGATAGGAATATTTGGGATTTGTGCAAATGAGTATGTAGTAATTGGCATGTCTAAAGGTTTTGTTATATCTTTTGTAAAGACTAGTTGGTTTTTTAAACTTGATAGTAGTTGGTAGAAGTTTTTTAAAGTAAATAATAAAATGTTGTCTAAATTTATACTTAAGGTAGTTTTGAATTTTGTTTTATTGATAGTGTTAGAGAATTGGTAACTGTATATAAAGAAGATTTCTTCAAACTATTTATTAAAGTGGTTAAGTAAATTTTTTAAAGATAGTATATTATATTTTTAAAGAAATAAAGTTTTAAGAAGGTTAAATTTTTTTGTTTGTGCTAAGGAGATTAACTATATTAATATATGTTTTCTTTTTTGTCAAATGTTGATAATCTTGATTTGAGTAATTTGCCTAAAGGTACTAATTTATTCAGACAATGCTTCTTTCTACTTATTAGAATATTGTTGAAGGTTCAAATAATACTTTTGAAGTTGAAGTTTCACATTCAATTACTTCAAGTTACATAGTTAATAAATTTCAATCTGGTTCTTTTGTATCAAATAAAGATTTTTTTTAAAGCATGTAAAAATTAAAAATTCTAATAAGATTTTTAATAATGTTGAATGTCATAATTTTTAGTCAGATGAAATCTTTGATGTTAAAGATATTAGAGACAGTAAGATGTAAAATATGTCTAAAAAAGAAAAAGATATAGGTTTTACATACCAACTTTATACAAACAGACAATTAAATTTATACAAACAGATAGTCAAATTCATACAAACCGACAGTCAAATTCATACAAATTGATAGTTAAATTTGTATAAATTTGACTTCTGTTTGTATAAAGTTGATATGCAAAATCTGTAAAAAAAGTATTATGTATAATAGTATAAGAAAATGTAATGTAGATTAATCTACTTATAATAGTTTAAAATCTTGTAATTCTAATAATGATCTTAAAAAAAATAAATATGTCTATATTATTGTTATATTTTTTTGTTTCATATTATATATTACATTAAGAAGTTTAAAGAATATATATAGCTTTGTTTATTATATTGAATTAGTTGCTAAATTATTTATTAAATTTGCATATTCTTAAGTTTATATTTGTATATTGCATTATTTTTAATAAAAGATATATTAGTATATATGTATAAATATATATATATATATATTCAGAACTTTATTTTGTTATATTCATATTTTACTATGAAAATTTAGAGTAAATATTATAGTTTTTAGAATATTTTTTTTTTTTTTTTTATTTATAATATCAAGTAGGAAAAATTGATAATACATGAGCATGTCAATCAGACATAATTG